AAATATAATTGATTTGTAACTTCTACTGGAACTGGCGGTAAGAATTGAAGTGCAAATAAATAATATCGTGTGCAATCTTGATTAATATAAAATTTAAAATGTTTGCATAGAAAAATATTTGCATTCAGACAGAAAGTTTTTTGAAACATTTGCAATTACTTTATAAGAAGGATTTATTAATAACCGTAATAATTACTTATTATATTACTGATGATTAGGATTCAGTTCTTGACAATTACATTCTAAATTAGAATTTTAAGGATATAATGAAAATACGCTACGCACAAAAATACATTTTAGGATAAAAATGAGTTGGTTTTTTATGTTTTAAAATTTCTTACATTTATTTAAAAAACATCGTATCCTCGTTGTTAATTGAATCCTAAATGTTGGGTGGCATTTATAGAATTATTCTTACTTGTCCATAGAATTTGCTGACTTATCCAGCCATTAAGTAGCTGCAGATCATTTCTACATAACCATTGAACTTCCATTAATTCAATCTCTAGAGGGCTGTGTATGTTTATATCATAATTTTGACTTTTATAAAAATGATTATTCTAAATATTATGTTTCTACAGTATAAAAATATACTGTGCTTTAAAAATGTGGATGATAGTATCAGCCGCTCTTTCAGCCACTTCAAAAACAGTTTGTTTAGAAATAAATTATGCAGTTAATGTCATAAAATTCAAATAAATATCAAATGAAAATTCTCAGTTTTAGACAATTCGATTTAAACGAAGTAAAGTAGCAGACGATAAAACGCCGAACGTAAAATTTACTCTTATTTTTTTTAAAAAAGGAAGATAGAGAGAAATTTAAAAAAAAAAAAAAAAAAAAAAGTTAAAAATTTGAATAATATCATCTATAATTTTAAAAAAAATAGCTTTTCATATAGTATTAATAAATATTTATTACGCTTCATTTAGGGAAAAAATGTTATATAATTATTTCTCCATAAAATCTTACTTGAAATTTAAGGTTAAAAAAATAGCTGTGGCAATTCACTGTAACAAAAATCCATAGACCACTTTGGCGTTATTGTCGCTAAAAAAAAAGATGCCAAATTTCAAAACTCGAAAATGTGTGAATTCGTGTATATCTTAGAAAATTTTGAATAAAAAAGTCTAATTTTTTGCAGATATGCTTAAAAATACACCTACTTTAAGATGATGGTAAAATTTTATAGGTTATAATTCAAAATTTTTTTTTTCGAAAAATTTATAAAAATTATTTAAAAATAGCAATTTAAAAAATAAAACACAAAAAATGAATAAATTTTATTTGGAATGAACCTAAATTTCGAAATGTGAGAAAAAAAATCAAAAAAGTTTAATAAAATACAGAAAGAGTCCGATTTTGTGTCAAAATACCTATGTTAGAATAGTGCTATATATAAATCTAATATAAATCCTAAGTCGCGCTTTCGAGACATGAAAAACGCAATTTGAATTTTGTCAATCGGCCCAGTAGAACGGGAGATATAGCACTGTCCCATTTTTTTTTTTTTTGAGCAGTGTACCTTGTTTGTGCAGATGCATGTTTCCTATGTATTTTAGACTTTCTGCATTCATTGGTTGTACCTTTTCTATAATTTATATACCATAAGAGGCATTTCACGTTAAATTTCAAGATTAAAAAAAAAAAAAAAACTAAATGTGTAGATTTTTTTACTTCGTGTATTTCCAAACTATCCCGAAGTCTTTAACAATGTCATTTTAAAACATGTACATGGCATCTGGTAATCAACTTCACATTTTGATTAATTTACAAAATGTGGTGAAATTTTAACACTGTCACTTAATTATTTGTTAAAAGAACTTGGTGGATAGAGATTGCTATGGAAAAAAACAGCATCAGTTTACCTTCCTTTTTGGAAATGCCAACTTTAAGATAAATTAACTATGATTAATAATTTTTTCCCGCTACATTTTTTTTTTTTTTTTTTTTTGCAAACTTTTTACTCTACTATATGTGTTAGACTGGTGATAAGATTGATCACATGCTCTTCCTTGGGAATTCTTGGCAACTTGTATTATTATCTTCATATCATCCATCCTGTGAAACATCATTTATATTTTTCATTTATTATTTTGGCTGCTGATGATGCATGTTTATTTTTTCCTTTCCTTGACATTCTAATTATAAATAATAAATTTTATTTCAATTAAAAAGTTTATCACAAACAGTATCTTGTTTTCCTTGCTTCTCATGCTGAATTTTGTCATTCTACTAAACAACCAAGAAAGTTTGTTCATTATTTTCTCTTCTTCAGGAAGTCAAATATTACAGAGGCTTTCCTTAATGCTACAGATAAAACTTTTATTACAGTAAAACTTGAGATCTGACACATTAATAAAATTTGCTGTTCAGTTCTTTGAAGGACATCGTTTTAATTCTTGGGAAATTTATGAATTCCTCATCAATGCAACCTGATGTACACAACATCAAACTTTTTATGTATTACAGTATTATGTATCATTAATAAATCTTATGTATTGTTGCGTGTGTACGGGTTTGTTTGGAATTAAATGCACAAGTCTGATGAAAAATGAATAAGATTTATTATTATCACAAATAAATAAAAACACAATACTTCAATTTTCTCAGATATTCGTGCAATATTACAATATCTGACAGTAGTAATCTTTTAACTACTCAAACGTTCAAGAGAACTTAATTCAAAACAGCTAAAGAAAGCTAATCTGCAAATTCGCTACAATCAACAAGAGCAGTTTTTTAAACAAACTCTTAAAACAACAACAAGCTAACTAAAATAACTGACGGACTGAATTGAGAGGTTTTCCTCCTTTTTATAAGATTTTAAAATCGCGCATGAGAATTTTCTAGTACTTTCTCGAAATCAAAAAGAGAGATATTTATTAAATGTTACATGCACGCGCTCTTGTATTTTCAAGTTTCCGGCTTAGCTTTCTTTTAATATTCGTCACGCGCTGCACTGCGCACGAAATAAAACCATTTAATTTACAATTCAACTAACATAAGCTATTTAAATACCAAATCCGTAACAGTATTATGTATCATTAATAAATCTGCTTCAAGAACATTTAATAAATCTTCCATATCTGACATTGTTAGTCCCTTAAATATTCTTCATATTTTAGCTAAATTTATCTTAAAGACTTAAAATGGTAAATTGTATTTTCTTGACAATTTCATTCACCAGTATCTCTCAACTTATTAATTACAATCTAGTTTTTCAGATAGCTTTAACACCATTATCCACCACTTTTAGATTGTTATGAATTCTATTCAGTTCAATAAATGATGCTATGTTTGTTTAGTTCATTTTGCCCCTATTAATGAAGTATTTCCAGCCACAGTACAGAATAATTTTGTTCCTCGAAGAATTTTATATCTATGTATTTCAAAGAAGCATAGGGAAAGTGAGCAGGACATCAAGTACACCACTGCATATCAACGTGAAGCATTGACTGAAAGAGTGGTATATTCATGTGGTGCCCACTTGCTTTCACCTCTGTTTGGAATAGTATTGCAGTCAAGTTACTATGATTCAAGAGCAAATATGGGAAATGATGAAGGACATATCTATATATCTGTATCTATCTATCTATATATATATATATGGAGGCCTTGTGGTGAATGCCTCAATCCTGCCTCTGCTTTACAGTGGCAACTGATTCTGCAGTTGGTGTCATGACAAGGTGTGCCACTGCATAAGATAACTTGTCTTTTCTTATAGTTATCCATGGCACTAAGACAGCCCAGCCATACATTCATGATATCCATCAGCTAAATTGCATTGCCAGTGATGGCTGGGCCACACACAGCAAGGATGTCCCAGAATGCTACAACCACCTTACCATCCTTCTCTGCTAGGCTGATCCCCAGATATGTTACTGATTAAGTATGTCTGAGATCACTTAATATGACAAGTTGGATAACCTAAGAGTTTGGTCAAACTAGATGTGCACTTTCAACAAATGTGAAATGAGATGATGAAGGACACCGTATGGGACCTGTATGCCTCAATATTTGCCCTATAAACTGCTTTGATTTTTACTCATTTTCTTATATCAACGTTAAATTCACATACATAACATTTTGCTTAAATCTGGCAACTCTTTTTTTGATGTGCCGACTTTTATGGCAATGAGTGGATATTGTGGAAGAGAAATTTTAATTCTGTTGTTAATACATCTCTAAATGTATAGCAACAGTAGGTTCTTATATGAATAAATATATATTAATTTTGCATATTTATATCTACAAAACTCTGAAAATAAAAATTAAGTTTTATCACCCTAATGTGTAGAAGAAGAATGACATAAGATTTCTGAAAAGGATATATGGAACAATCAGTTTTCAATTTCTAGAAAACATATCTGAAAAAGTTATAAAAATTTGAATATTTAAGTGCAACTGAATTCATTAAAAAAAGCCCTTGGGGTGGGGAGGGAAAAAAGAGAGTGAGAGAAAGAAAGAGTACATTAACTTTTTACATGATTTTAAAAAAAAAAAAAAAAAAAAAAAAAAAAAAAAAAAAGAGAGACGGACATCTTATCCTTACATTTCAATGAACTGATGAGTGAGCATTTCAGTTCAGAATATTATTATTATTTTTTTATATATAGATAGTTTTTACTTATTTCTAGGAGAATATCTATCACTTCAATAGAATTTTATTTCTGATATTAATACATAATGATTATAGAAAATTTCGATGTATGATTACAGAATTAGCTTTGATTTCATTTCTTGGTTATTTATAATAGCTATTTTTCCTATTCTATTGTGAGACACTTATTTGTGTGGTTAGCTATTCCTTTTTGAAAGAACATGCAATTAAAATGTCAAACAATGTAAAACTACTTTTGAGATGCTGAGATTATTCTATATTCCTAATTCATAAAATATTAGTCAAAAGATTGTTTAAAACATTTCAAATTTAGACCACAACATTCTGCTTTAATTGCATGAATAATATAATAATAGCAATATGGAAAATTATTTACCCGATGATATGCCATTAAGAACAGGTGGTCCCATATCTGGACCCATGGGCCCCATAGGCCCATCAGGACCAGGACCCATTGAGAACTGAAAAATTAACAGGAATTTTTTTAAGATTTTATAACTTGGAAATTATTTAGAAAAATTTTAAATTAAGTATGTAACATTCTATTAATAATGGGATGTAAGGAAATATTTCAAAATCATTCTCAGGAAAATATGTGATATTAAGATGATTTAACTATTGGTATGCAAAGTTAAAGAACAAAATGAATCACTAAACTACATAATAGTACGTGCCTATAAATGGTTTAGTTCAAAAGGACTTACTTTTTTAAAAATAATATCTTGGGTGACATTCACATATTAACTAAACTATGCAAGTTGCAACACAATAGGCACAGTATAACAAATTAAAATAGTACTAATAAATAAATAAAATAAAAATAAATCTTAATGTATCCAAGCATTTATGGAAAAATTGATTTTTGAGACACAGACAAATATTTTACTATTTTTGACAAATCAACTTTATAATTGCTTTGTGCTACTCTTGAAACATTAAAGCAAGAATCAAAGACAAAATTTATATAAAAAGATCTCTGCAAATTTTAGATTAAGATCATTCACAAAACAATAGTGATACAAAATGTGAGCACAGTTCTGTACAAAATTTTCAAAATTTTGATACTCTTTTCTATTCTCCTTCAAAATAGCCTCAGGATTCACATATTTTTTACCTCAATGAATTCATCAAATAGAATTGCATAATCATGTTTCAATACAGCTAATTCTGTAATAACTGCTTTCTCTACATACCAAAGATTTTCCACAGATAATACCACTCTTAATACATCCAAAATCTTGAAATGTGTTTTTAAATTTCATGATAAGGCAGCAAAATAATTTGAAATTATTGTACAGTTATTTGGAGGAATTGTCTGTTTACAAGAATGGCGTATAACTTGTGCTTCAGTAAACACATAAAACCTCACCAGATCACAGTTCTTCGGGGAAATCCCTGCTTCACGAAATATGTTGTATATGTGTCATCTTAAAAACTCAGGAATTTTCATTGATGCAAGAATACTTTAATTTCTTCTATTAAATGCATCAGAAATGTGAAAATAATATAAAAGGCAACCAGTATCATGTTTCTAAGTCTACAAAATGATTAACGAGTATTTAAATGAACAACATTCTAGTGTTTTTAAAAGAGTCAGCAAACTAGCATTCCAAGATCAATGTAATTTTTACAAGAAAGTGTTTTCAACTGCCAGTTCAAAACACTATCCATTCAGGTTAGTTTTCAAAGTTATTATCAGTGTGATATTAAGGAAATAATTTTGAACACTAGTATAGAAAACTACATAAAACTGTGTTTTTGAGTACTTAATATGATATAACAATTGCTAGCTGGATGTACTATTTATTTACACTAAAAAAGCATGCTCAGGGAAATGCAATAATTTCTTGTATTCTCCTTTACTTGAAGGGCAAACAAGACCCAGACCACATTCTCATCTTTACCTGCATATTTCAGGCACCTTAAGAGGTTTTTAAGGAGTTAAAGAAATGTAAAAATTAACTCTGCACTTTCTGAGATTTGGATAATGATCTTCTTGTTGCTAGATAAATGCACTAACCACTATCACTATTGCCACAAGAGTGTGGACGGAGAAATGCGACAATTTATTACAATGAGAGCATTTCTGATTAACTTAGCTAATCCTTGAAGAACTGTTATAAGCAGTTTCAGTTACAAATATTTCTTCAATAATATTTCATAAAGCAAAATAATAATAATAATAATAATAATAATAAAAGAAAAAGAAATTTTTACCAACTATATATAATTAGCCCTGTTAGTGCAGTCAATATTAGAAATTACATAAACATTTACTTACCCCTGGCATATTACCTCCTGGAACAGGCTTCATCATTGTGTACATTCCATCTGGTCCAGATCCTGAGGAATCTAAAGCAGATAGCAATCAATTCTTTTTGATAAACCACAATTATTTCTTCCCCAAACGAATTTTGATCAGGCAAGAAATAATTGAATGAATAATACATAAACAAGCACAACATGCAACTGCTCATAAAACAAAATAAAGCCAAAAATATGAAAATAAATTCAGTTAAGGGAATATTGATATATAGTTTATCTTACAAACATATGCAACAAAACAGAATGAACATTCAAAATTTAGCAAATCAGAGAATTTATATTGTAAAAAAGAAAAATTCCACATTAAAATTCATTAACATAAAAACTAGACATTAAAAATTCATATTCTACATCTAAAAACTAGCACACACACAATAATAACACAACAGTTTACTAATGTGGATGCAGAAAGGGGGGAAACAAATAAAAAACATCATCAAACTTATCACATACATTAAAAATATCATATAGAACGTTCTACACATTTAAAATGGCGGATCACGAATTAAAGCCTGCCATAATTGAGTCTGTCTTTTATCTAATAATAATCCCTTCTTTTGAAACATTAAATGCACAGTGCATAAAAATTTTAAAGTAACACAAAACCAGATATGTAGGATTACTATATGGCTCAATAATTAATATGCAGGCTGTGTAACAGACAAGTCAGCATCAGCTTACTAGCAACAGAAAATGACAGATAGGAATGACTTTTAAATAGGGTTTTCACTGAAATTCAGCTTTTAATTTTCCTGAACTTTTGATTTTTGAAATTGAGCTTTTAATTTAATTTGTTTATTATAAGAATAATAAACAAATTAAGTACAACTAATTAACTGAGTAAGTTTGTATATCTGTTACAAAATATACCAACTAAGAAATTATAAATATTTAATTTATCTTTCTTACATCTACAAAGTAAATTAAAAAATATATGATATATACTTCTAAACCATTGAAAAAAGATGGTAGGGTTTTAAAACTATAAATATATAAACCTCTGGGTGATAAATTTATAATAGCACATTATTTATAATCATCATTCATGATAAATATTACCCATCTGATGTTTCAGAAAAATATTAAAATAAATATAGTTATTCATTATAATGTAAAAACAGTGTAATGATTTCTTAATTACACTATTTATTTAAAAGGGCAAAAAATATGTCTAAATGAAAGCAAAATATTGGGTTTTAACGAAAGTTTCCACCACAGATTTCATGATTTCAAAAAAGTTATTGTGTAGTATCTGTCTTTTCCTTTAAAAGGGATTTAAATGTAAAACATTTTGCTGCAAAAAATGTCTGACATGTTTAATGTTGGGGGGAGGAGACTCATTATAAAATGGAATTACATCTATCTCTATAAACTGATTTTAACCTACAATGATTAAATATCATTGCCTACTTTATTGATTTAGAAACTGAAGATTCATAATCATTATCTTTGGATACACACCAAATCATGATCACTCAGTTGTAGACACACAGACTTCCCATTATTGTTAAAGTAATGAAATTAAATTTAACCTACATATTTTTTTGCTACTTTTCAATTAATAAAATATCATATTTGTTTAATACCTTTTCCCATTGTCACTTACATAAATTTTAATATGTTAAATGTCAAGATTTTAATAGGTACATCATAATACCTTAAAAAAATCTATCATCTATATAAAGAAGTTGGCCAACTCTGCCCCAAGCAACCATCATTTGTGGACAGGATGGAATTCTGTAGATTCAGGATACAAACAAAACACATACAGGAGATCAAGAATTTAGGATAAGAAATAGGGCTTCATCTTCCAAATTCTCCTAAAATTTCCCCATCAGATTACCACTTTCTTGGTACTTAAGTTAATTTTTGTCTAAGAAATGTTTTGCCAATGATGCATCAATGTATTGGTGGTGGTTTATTGTGGATCCAGTGATATGACACTGCTTTTTACAAACCTGAAATAAATTACCTTTGCCACGCAATGGTAACAGTGCACCACTATATGCAACAAAACAGAATCTTCAACTATTGCTGAACAGTAGCATAACATTTTGATTAAAGAGATATATTTCTTTTCAATATTGCTTAAAATAGGCTATTTCATTTGGGGAAGGGGGGAAATGCCATCAGAAATCACATATACAGCTTATACCGAGTATGCTTTTATGCTCTAGGTATTGATGGAATTTGTTACTACAACTGCAAAAACCAATTTACTGAAAATGTCAATTAATGGGGAGAGAGGAAAAAAAAAAAGGGGAAGGTCTAAAGATTTAAACTTATTTAGATCAACACCTTACATCCCCTGCAGAAATTTGCCGATTGGTTAAAAAACTGACATTTTTTACGTTTAAATGCATAATTTTATTTTGCTTACTATATTGTAATACACTGTTGGAATTAAAGGGTAAATTTAATGGTTCATACACACACACACACACACGTAACACATATAGTGGATGGACAAAAATATGGAAACACCTTGTGAAATGCATGTTTGAAAAGAAAGATTAATTTTAATGAAATATGTAGGTGGCGCTGGCGTTTTTGACTACTGACGCCACCTATACAACTTCGTAATGTGCTAAACAGTTCAGTTGTTGTCGGAGTACTGTTATGTGAGGTTGTCATTGCATTATGTCAGAGTTAACAGACTTCGAACGTGGGCAAGTTGTTGGAGCATGTATGGTAGGTGCTTCCGTAAGCAAGGTAGCCGAGGTGTTTAGTGTTTCAAGAGGTACTGTATCGAAGATTTATTCTGCATATTTGAAAAGCGGAAAAACATCATCTGCTAAATCACAGCGCGGGCGAAAGTGTGTCCTGAGTGATCGTGACAGACGATCATTAAGGGCAATTGTGACGAAAAATAAGAAGACCACAGCTGCAAAAGTTACTGCTGAAATGAATGTTGTGTTACCGAACCCTGTGAGTACCAAAACAATTAGAAGGGAGCTTCATAAACAGGGAATTGCTGGTCGTGCTGCAATTGAGAAGCCACTCATCAGTGATGCTAATGCCCGTAACAGGAAAAGGTGGTGTTAAGTCATAAAGCCTGGACTATAGAGCAGTGGAAGCGAGTAATATGGTCTGATGAGTCTTCTTTCACATTGTTTCCCACTTCTGGCCGAGTTTACGTCTGGAGAACGCCATCTCAAGCCTATAATACAGACTGCTTGTTGCCAAGAGTGAAACATGATGGGGGTTCTGTTATGGTTTGGGCAGCCATATCGTGGTTCTCTGCTAGCCCCATGATAACTGTGTCAGGGCACATGACTGCCAAGACTTATGTGAACATTTTGGCCAATCAAGTTCATCCCATGGACAAACTTTGTTCCCCGATGGTGATGGTGTCTTCCAAGACGACAAAGCCCCTGTTCACACAGCTCACATTGTCCAGGACTGCTTTTCTGAGCACGAGGATGAGTTGTCCCATCTCCCCTGGCCACCACAGTCACCAGACCTGAATATTATGGAACCTTTGTGGTCTACATTAGAACGGAAAGTGCGTTCTCATTATCCACCGCCAACATCGTTATCTGAACTTACCACCGTTTTGCAGGAAGAATGGTATAATATTCCCTTGGCAAACATACAGGAACTGTATTTATCCATTCCGAGAAGACTGCAAGCTGTTTTGGATGCCAACGGGTTTCCTACACCATATTAGGCAAAGAAACATGTTTCTTTCAAAGGTGTTTCCATATTTTTGTCCAACCCCTGTATTTCATGCACTCAATTTGATATCAAAATGCTTCTTTAAGCATGGACATTCAAACAGCACATTTAGCATAACATAATTTGAAAGAAAATATTAATCACAATACAGTACCCTGAGGACTTGGCATTATGGGAGTTCCTGGACCCTGACCACCTGAGCTTGAAACAGGAGGTCCCTGAAATCAAAGAAAAATATACACTTTAGATCCATCTTGGAAATTTCATCCAACAAATCTTTCACATTATTTAGTTTGCTAACATTTCTCAAAGTTGAATATATCTTCAGTTTATGGAGGGAAAGAGGCATTCCATTTATAATGCATATGCATTCAAATGCAAAACTTGTTAAGCATTTTTGATGACAAATGAACAAAACAAGCAGATATATAAGTGATCAATATTATTTCTAAGTACAGTCAAAAGTCGTTAATTCGGACACCCATAATTTCGGAATGATCTATAATCCACACCTTAAAGCTACAAACTTTCTGTGCATGTGTCAGTTGACGCATGCGCGTAAGACCTTTACGGCTGCGAATATGCATGTGCGCATGCGCATAATACGTTTACGCATGCACGTTTAATGTATAACAGACGGTATAAGATAAGCTAAAATTATCTAATTCAGTTAATGTTGCAGATTGCGTTGTTCCTTAATCTTCGAATTGGATCCGGCTTATTATTTTTTGCAGACTGTTAGAGCAATTTTATAAAAGTAAGCTTGAACTTTCGATTATGTCAAAAAGAATTTCCGATATATATTTACTAATATGTAAAGGATCTACAAAACGAAAGTATGTTTCGAAGTCCATTAAACAAAAAGTGGAATTGCTGCAAAAAATGGATAAAGGCATATCCTTCGTTTCTCTAACCATTCCAAAATCTGTTCTGGGGGTGGGTCGACGCTGCGGTGCGCAATGAATTGGAAGTTGATCTGTCAGCACTATCCTTATCTTCAGGGCAGATGTTTTTATTTTATTTGGCTCATAATTCCTTACTAAATGTAGTATTTCATCTTGATGTACTCTGTCTTTGATATGATTTAAATCAAATTCCTCGTCATTATAATTCGCTTCCAATAGTGAAGAAAGTGACACAGAGGTTATTGAAAATGAAAAAATTTTGATTGACAAATTAGTCGGTATTTTTGACGAAGCAACTTAAGGATTTGAACCGTTACATTTGAACTGAAAATGTTTTAATAAAGTAAACAAATAAATATTAAGTTTTTTTTTTTTTTTTGTAAATTTTGATACCCTTTACATCATAATTGTTCTTTATTTCATAAATTATGGTTTCATATTTTTAATTTTATAATTTCTGCCAGATTTAAACTGATGATCAATAATCCAGAAAAATCGATAATGCGAAATCGCCGAAGTCCCAACAAATCCGGATTAACGACTTTTGACTGTACAACCAAATCACTCATTCAAGCTATAATATGTGTTCACATTTCACTGATTCACAAGCAACAACCCTAAAAATGGTTTCTCCTCTTTTTAAACTTAGAGTTAAATTAAGCCTCCAGTTTACCAACTGTTTGATGTCCCACATGCCGTACTTAATAGAAGCTATTATAAAATCAAACTCACTGATTCATATTTTGTAAAACATGAAATATCTGCAGGAACATTTTAATCTTTTACTGGAATTGATTTTCTACTCAGAATATTTGACTACTCAGTACAATTCATATTGGTCTTATATCATGAGGGTGAAGACAATTAGCAAATGAATTTATGTGTTTAAATATTGGGTGAAAGGGTGGAAGTTTGTATCAAAGAAGTTGGCAGATATTTTCAGCAATAAGCTGATACTATTCACATGATTTCAGTCATGTTTATTTAACTAAGTTTTTCCTTTCAAGTATTTACTGTAACTGATGTAAGGGACATACTGTGTACTATATGTGGCAGTCTGTGTGAACATTTTTCATTAATTTTTTGCTGGGATTTGCTTTTAAAGACTGCACGACTAACTAAAATTGTCAATTATTCTAAAATGTCCATTTTTGTTTTGCTTTCATTAGGATATTAACTAGAATGAAAAAAATTCACATATTTTTACAGATTTGAAATGAATTTTATCATTTAAGAAATACTTTGTACAAAAATATTTAATAATTTGAAATCAGCTGTACAAATAAAAGTTAAAAATTATCATTTAAGAAATACTTTGTACAAAAATATTTAATAATTTGAAATCAGCTGTACAAATAAAAGTTAAAAATTATATTTCGAGACAAATTAATGAAATGCTCCAAGAACTGATTTCTTCCTTAACCCTCCAAGCAATATGTATGTTCAAAAATACTTGTTAAGAAAGATAACTTGAGCACTCAAACATGCAGCTTGAAATGTGTCCAGAGAGTTAAGATAGTATAGCACAGCAGTTGCCAACCAGTGCTCCGTAAAAACTTTTTGATTGTTGAAAATTGGGACATTATTTATATTTTTATGGAGATTCAGTTTAAAAAAATGAAGAGTAACAAAACCTATTATGGAATATGGATTATATATTTTTTAAAATTTTAGCTACTTCTTTTAGGGAAATTCCTTCTGAATTTAGTGAGTTTTTAGCTACTTTTGCAGGTTTATCTAGTGACATCTGAAAGTGAGAGTTGACATCCATGGATATACTGTTGTTATTAATAATAGCTGGAACTGGAAATTCTCTTTCCTTTTGAATTACAACAAATGCTATTGTGGACATTAATAACACAGTTTTTCTCCATGTCAATACGCATCTTGATGGATTTTTATGAGAAGCATCTGCATTCTTGTTTATAACTGCATCACTGGAAATTTCCGTTTTTGTTTTGTCTAACTGTTGATCCATGGCACCATTGCTGAGTAAGCGATGATTATTATGTATACAATAATTAAAAATTGATGGCATAACACTATCAGTTTATTGATACTGCTTTATGTTTGCGAATTTGTTCTTGCTCTTGGTGAAGTTCCTTTTCAGTGATATGGAAAAGTGAAGGTTTCTGTACAAGAAGGTAAGATTTTTTTATTTTTCATGCAATTTTTCAATGTCAACAAAATATGTGTAGTTTCCTGATTATTATTGAATAAATGTAGTTACCTTTTTTTTTAAATTCATATCAGTGGTCCACCAAATATGAAATTATATATGTAGTGGTTCATGAAGGTCTAAGGGTTGACAACCGCTGGTATAGCATATATTGGAAGAAAAGGAGTCAAAGCACAAAGTAGAAAGATCACTTTGGGATTATTCAGGGAAAACACTATTTTCCATGGTCTTTTGGAGATCTTTATAGTTTTAGGACCAAATCCTTGGCCGTTTGGAGGGTTAAAAGGCACATTTACATTAGATTGCTCATTTATTGTTATTGTCTCATGACACAATTTATTAGCTACAAATTAGCGATCAGGAAAGTGCAGCATTGTGAGCTGTCAGAGTTACTGAAGTACCACCTTCAGTAACCTTATTGCTTTCAGTTCTAAATACCTTATTGCAAGCAGAAATGTGCTCATCAACAAAGGATCAAACTATGCATATCTATGAATTAGAGCTGCAGCCCAACACAATAATTAGCCACATTAAATTACAATAAATGATTATAACCAAAAAATATAACCACAAGAAAATTAAACATGACAAGAAAGATGAAAACAGCAAGTTCTGGTTTTAATCAGAATTTTCTGCAATGCTGGAATCACATGCTGGAATATTTATCACAAAGAAAATGAAAGTTTTGATGACATATTCTTCAAAACACATCAGAGAGATAAATAATCCAAAAAACTGAAGCAGAATTCAAAATTTACAGGAAACTAGTGAGATGAAATAAGTACACTCTAAACTGAAAGCAAATATCAATTTATATAACACACATATAATAATGTAAAAATATATAAAAAAATTATATATTTTTTAATTCTTCAAAGTCAAATAATGCAAAATGGAACCATATATGACACAAATTTATGATGACAAAAGAATACATATATTTACCCCATAATGACTTCCTGGTGATGATGATGAATAATTCATCTGAAAAATACATTTATAGTTGATACATAGTTATGAAAAAATCTAAAAGTTAATTGCTACATTTATAACATAATTATCTGCACTTTTAAGTTCAATTCACAGAAGCAAGTGATAAAATTATCACATAAAAAAAACAGTAGTATTATCTGAATAGTTTTAAAATATGGCCAGAACACTGAAGAAAGCTTTCTTATAAATAACAACTGCATTTAACGCATAATTAGTCATAAAATTAAAAGCATATATATGACCATAAATGATCTTTTTGACAGACTGGATTGATTTAGGAATACAGCACAAGGGCTATTAGGCTCAGTCAGAATTTAGACTGGGAGTACTCCAGGAGAAGGTACTTTGAAAATGAACTTTTTGTGACCCAGGAAATAAAAAGTCTACTAAAGATGGGACAATAATATATTTCTCGCTCTACAGCACCAATTGACGAAATTTAATTTGCGCTTTTCATGTCTTGAAAGCGTGATGTATGATGTATATTACATTTATATATAGTATTATTCTAACATAGGTATTTTGACACAAAATCAGACTTTTTCTGAAATAGCATCGCTTTCTTTCCATATATCATTTCTACTACAAAAACTAATCCTAAATATATTAAATTTTATAAAATTTAGTGACACACTTATCAAGAAATTTAAAAATTTATCTTGGTGCCAGTGGTGGCTTGTAGCCAAAATTAGTGGGGGTGCTGTTCCAAAAAAAATTAACCTTTGTTTTAAAATTGTCTAAAAGGAAATAAACATGTATAAAAAGAAAATTTATTTTGAAACTTCATGAAATCTTACAAGAACAAAATTAAACATTTTTTAATTACTTTAACCTAAATTGTTACAGTTCAATCTTTGTCTATTCATTTAAAAATGAAATCCATTCTTCTTGTTTTAATTTTTGCGAAAAGATCAATAATTTTCTCCTTGATCTCTGGATGACAACTGAGGAGATTTTTCTTTATTGAAATCAATGCAAGCGCATTTAGTCTTTCCGAATTTCTAGTGCTTCTTAGAAAAGTTTTCATTCTTTTAAATGTTGAAAAGCAGCGTTCTGCCTCTGATGTAGTCATAGGAACTCTCAAGAGAATTTTTTTTTTTGTTTCGTAATTTCACTAAGAACATCATCTAGATTATTTTCGAAGATAAATTTCAGATCAATTAATTTGCAGTATTCATGGATATCAGACCTACAATAGAATACTTTTAGTTCAGTTTCAAGCTTTTCTTTGTCAATCATTAAATACACTTCAGTGGTCAGTACTATTTCTTCTGTAGAATGTTTATTCCTAAAACTAGCGAAGAATTTCTTGTTTAACAATTTAGCAGCTGCTAAGTGTTTAGTGGAAGAATATTGTGCATTATATCAATACATAGTATAAATCACATATTTCCTTAGCTTCTGCCATCAGTGTCTTTGAAAAATTCTTACAGTAGTTTTTGAGTTTCTTAAAAATAGCAGTTTTTGAAATTTGTTATAATTCGTTAACTTTAAACAACACACTAATTTCTCTGGATTACATTAGTTGTATATTATTTCAACATAATGCATCTGATAAAAAAGCTCTAACCAAAACTTGAAATAATTATCATACCCGTTTTTTTTTTTTTTTTTTTTTTTTTTTTAAATCCTGTTGCTTTTGCAATAGTTTGATCTGCATTTGATGTTGATTAAATTTCATTAAGGCAATTTTTTAAAGGTTGCAAATTTTCATGAACTCTGTTTACGGTTCCGTATGATAAAGTTCCACCTTGTGGAGGAAATACCACACGCGCAGAGTAAAAAGAAGTCACGTTTGCCAACAACATGCCAGAATTTCCGGCACTGCAAGAATGACAGTGCTCTTCTCGCTACCCGGCTCGCGTGCTGCTTTCTGTAAGCGCATGCGCAGAACAGCCAAGCACCACGTCGCTGGAACTGTGAAGCAGCGCAGTTCCAAACAAAGAATTTCGTACCTTTTTTCACAAAGTAGGGGATGGCAACTGACATTAAGCTTAAGGATTATGTATTGTAAAAGTATAAAGAAAGAATTAAAGACTAAAGGACACACTATATTAAATATTAAAAATAATAATAAATGGAAATAGGGGGTGATGCAGTTCCACAGTGCTTATTACGAGCCGCCACTGCTTGGTGCATTTTTTTTTTTCAGTCTGCGACAGGAATAATTAATTCACTTGGCAAAATTCTTAATTTATGGTAGCCTATTTTCCTTTCCCTTTCACAACTTCTGAAACTAATCAAGATGATCTTGGAAAATGGATCCAAAATGATCAGAAAGTTTTCACAATTTTGACCATGAAATCATCTTATGGAGGGCACATTCAAAAGTGTAAAATGCCATATGAAGCATGGAAATTTTGTCCTGATCCCCAGTCAACGACTTTTTGAAAAATAAAAATATTTCTGTATCTGAATCTATTGATAACTCAGATATAAATATAATTAACTGATATTAATAATTGTAACTAAATATAGTTTATGAAACAATTTTATTTTTCGACATCAAAATTTGAAGGTAAGTAATTTTAGAAATCATGGATTCACATACTTCAAATGATGAATTGTAACTTTTAGAACCATGCCTTTAGAAAGGTTAGTTTTTGATTACAAAAGCATCTGTAGCTATAGCTATACCTATTTCTGATGATCCATTTTCCATCATATTTACTTTAAACTATTTAAATTACTACTATAATTTTTTTTTAAACTATTTCTTCTGAACACATTACAATTACTTCCTTGAAGTGACACATTTAACTCACTAATTTTTATTTACCTGACAATCAATATACAGTCGAAAGTCTTTCATGCGGACATCCATAATCCGGAATGATCTATAATCGGGACCTCAAAGCTACAAACTTTCTATGCACGTGCGTTTAATGTATAACAGACAGTATACGCTAAGCTAAAATTATCTAATTATCTATTTCAGATGTTGCAGATTGTGTTGTTCCTTAATCTTCTAATTGGATCCGGCTTAATATTTTTTGCAGAATGTTAGACAATTTTATAAAAAAGGCATATCCTTTGTTTCTCTAACCGTTCCGAAATCTGTTTATCCTGATCTTCAGGGCAGATGTTTTTATTTTATTTGCCTTATAATTCCTTACTAGATGCAGTATTTCATCTTGATGTACTACTCGTCCTCGATATGATTTAAATCAAATCCTTGTCATTATAAATCACGAATACACATCAAATAGTTTTCTGGTTGCAATTTTCTAATTTCGATTATGCGTAATGTTGCTTTATGCATGCGCACGTTAAAAAATGTTTAATAAATAAAAATAAATATTAAGCTCTTTTTTTTTTTTTTTTTTTTTTTTGTAAATTTTGAACCCTTTAGATCATAGTTGCTCTTTATTTCATAAATTACGGTTTCATATTTTTAATTTTATAATTTCTGCATGCCATTTTACCAGATTTAAATTGATGATCTATAATCCGGAATCGCCGGAGTCCCGACGAGTCCAGATTAAAGACTTTTGACTGTATATGGTTTTAAAAGCCAAATTTATTGCAAAAAATCAACAAAATTAGATTTTCATCCAGTTACAAATGTACCAACTTTCTTATAATCAATTAAAATAATTTTTCAACTGTAATGACCTGCATGAATTTGTATTCTGCATACGATTTGGTAACTGGCACAGTATTTCAGCATGTAGTAATAAGATTTGGTAACTGGAATTTATATGTCTGAAAACAGATAACTGTTATGGAAATAACAGCTGTTAAAGAAATTAATGATTTTGATAGTATTATAAAGCAAATTTAAATCTGGTATTTTTTGGGGGAGGGGAGCTGTGAGTGCTTTTCCATTCCAGCTTCCTACATTCTCACCTACGTCAGTACTTTATGAAAAATTCACCAACTACGTCTTCCCTTCTTGTACATACTCTCAATGGATGACAAAACAATAATTCTTTATGCAATTTCTTTCATATGAAGATATTAAGTAATAAGCTTCTGTAACCAGTCATTATTAATATCAGAAATTCATCTGGGAACAGTATGATTCTTTAAAAGAATTTTACAAATTCTACCGGTACTTTTCCATTTTGCCGGCGCAAGCGATAAAGTCGCCAATAATGGTACAACCGATGCCAAACAGAATATTCTCGCTGGTAATCTTTTACGCCTCATTCAGATAGTTCAGTTTTATGTCTAAGGCCATTTTCGGCAATTAAATCAATTAGGATGCAATCACAGCGCTTACCCGAAGCCGAAGATATAGAAAAGGTAAGTCAAGGGTTAAATTCATCATTCTAATGAGAATGCATTAGCGAAGTAAGCACAGTTTTTTACATAATTTCTGAGTAAGCTATTCGTACGATTGAAGTATTTCTTGCATTTAAACTTGGTTCCAAATTAAGATTTAACTCGAAATTAATGTAGATAATTACTGAGAGCATTATTTTTGTAGATAGTATACGTGAGATGAGATCGCTTGGGTCATGTGATATGAACCGGCGAAACGGATGTTGAAACTATGAAAGCATAGTAAATTCTTAAATTAATGTCTTTTTATAATTTTATTGTCTTTATTTATTGGCTTTTTATAAAATTTTAAGCGATATTAAAATGTTTATGCCTTCAAAAATAGAATTCTTAGGACTAACATTTTTTAAACATTTTTTGTGTGTATAATGTATGTTGTCGCCAATAAAGTCTGCTTGGCGAGTTTTGCGCCGGTGAAATGGAAAAGTACCATTCTACCTTTAATTTTTTTTTTATCAATTATTTCTAACATTTTTACTGCAGCAGGTAACACGGGATATTCTTCCATCATGTACACTTTTTATTTTTTTTTCCAATTAAATAAGGTGTTTTGTATGATGCAAGATAACATTTTTTGCTGATAGCAATAAGTTTCTGAAAGCATTGTTTTCTAGTATGTAAGGAATTCAAAATATTTCTTTGGTGTATTGCAAAATACTGCAAGCTAGGTCAACAATATCATCCTAGTTTGGATCGTTTCATGCTCTCAGCAGCTCACAGCGAGAATTTAATATGGCTTAATTTTATACTTACTTGTCAATATTCACAGAATAATAATTTAACAAAACATTATAATTTAGGATATGCAATAATCCTGGGAGGTGGGGCTAGCATCTCAAAATAGGTATAGCCATAGCTGCTTTGCAGCGTTAATCTGTAGGAGATGATGACAAGATGCAGCTGAGTGATTAGACAACTGGTGTAAGAACTCTTTCATTATCAAAAACTCACAAACTATTCTGCTTAGTATTCACGCGGTACTGCTGAACTGGTTTTTCAATAATTTTCAGTCACTGAGCATCCAGAAATGTTTTATTTTTGTAAACCTTAAACTTCCTCTGAATTGTGAATTTAACTCCACGTGGTTTCGTGACCTACACATTGAAAAATCATGCTCTATGGAGGAAATGAAAGTCTTCCACTGGTCTCAACTAATTTTCTTTCAGATCAGCAGGTTTTAAGTATACTCGCTCTACAAACATACTACAGTCACAAATATCCACACTCTATTTATAATTTAAACTAAAGTCCCACAGCATGTGCAGTCAGTCTGCAAAACAACCACCTCATCCAGGGCAGCTGGCATTCTTGTAACAAATGTAAATTCTAAAAATTAAAAAATTATCATTTGAACTGTTATGAAATCAAAATGAATTTTGAAAATAATAATACAGTCAAAAGTCGTTAATCCGGACTCGTCGGGACTTCGGCGATTCCGGATTATCGATTTTTCCGGATATTGGATCGTCAGTTTCAATCTAGTAAGATGGCATGTAAAAATTATAAAATTAAAAATATGAAATCGGGATTTATGAAATCATGAAATATTTATGATCTAAAGGGTATCAAAATTACAAAAAAAAAAAAAAAAAAAAAAAACAAAGCTTAATATTTATTTGTTTACCTTTTTAAACATTTCGTTCAATGTATGTTGTTTAAGTTGCTTTGTTTTTTGTGATAATACTTTCTTTTTAATTCCATAGACAGACATAATCTCTTTTTCAGTTACATTGTTGAAGTCTTGGAACCGCTGTTTGGAGCATTCCGACTAACTTGTCAATCGAAATTTTTCGTTTCAATAACCTCTGTTACTTTCTGCTGGGAAGGGAAATGCCAGGCATTTGATTTAAATCATACATTGAGTAAGCAATTATAAGCCAAATAAATAAAAAACATCTGCCCTTAAGAAAGGATAGGCTACAGATCAACTTCCAATGGTGTAGATAAACAAAGTTTAGATAACAAACCTAAGTTTCGATAAACAAATGTTAAGTTTGATAACAAAGGATATGGCCTTTATCCATTTTGCAGCAATACCACTTTTGTTTAATGGAATCCGAAAGATACTTTCGCTTTGTATATCCTTTACATATTAGTAAATATATATCGGAAATTCTATTTGCATAATCGCTACTTTTATAAAATTGCTACAGTCTGCAAAAAATATAATCCGGATCATCGAAGATTAAGGAACAACGCAATCTGCAACATTAACTGAAATAGATAATTGATAATTTTATCTTAGCTTATCCCCGTCCGTTATACATTAAGCGCGCATTCTAAACGTATTTGCCACGCGCAAATCGACGGAAGTTGGACGCATGCGCAGAAAATTTGTAGCTTTGAGGTCCGGATTATGGGTGTCCGAATTAACGACTTTTGACTGTACTAACTATTATTATTTTAAATAAAGTATGTAAAATAACTCCGTTCAAAGAGGAATTACATAGACAGTCGAAAACCCTTGCTAACTAATGGTTGTTACTGATTATCAAAACAGAACTACAGTTATATGTCACGAAAAAGATACAAATTGGGATGTGATACTCATTACTTTTTTAAGCAACTATTTATTACAATCATTTTACATACTAAAAAACCAAAAGAAATTTGAAATGGTTTATCCATTGATCAAAAGAGTAGATTTAGAGTAATTTTATTATCAGATTTGTGTTTTTTCTTTTGTACACTTTCATTTCAAGCAATGCTTCTATAACCAATGTGGTGTTCCAAGGCATTAGACTCACTTTTAGCCTTTGCTGCTTACTTATGTCACCATCAGGGCTGGTGCTAGAGCATATGCAATCGCACCAGAGGGCCCACCAGCGGTCGAGTGGTACAGACGCTGAATACTGATAGTTCGGTCCGAGGTTCAAATCCCGCGAACAGGCTGGCTGCATGGGCATTTTCGCAGTTTTCCCTATGTGTAACATGTATACAAGCCAGTTTCCCTTAGAAAGTCCTCCACGAAAGCATCCCTCCCTTTAGGCAGATAGCCCTCGTGTGCTTTGCCATAATTGAATAATCCAATCGCACCAGGCAGCAGAATTTAGGGGTGAAAAATTTTTTAATTCAAGGGGTGGCAGATTCTAGGAATCTGAGTGATTGCACTGGGCAGCGAAAAGTAAAGCACTGACACTGATCTCATCTATTAATACCGATGGGATATGTGGAGTTACGCATTTATGATGACCTTGGTGGTGTTAAACAACTTTGGGATTTAATCTTGGATCTGCTATGTGGCAGTTAAATACAGTGCTGTTATAGCAAAAAAGCTTTCCTGTGATAATTTCTGATATCTGAACTGCTTCGCATTTCAAGCATTTGATTGGTTTTCAGGAATGCTACACAGTCAGGCCCTGGACATTTTAAATGCAATATTAGGAGGTGTTACTTGTAATTGCAAGTGGAGAAAACTCGTTTTTCTAACCTCCAAATATTACCAGTTAAATCCACAATGCCTGTCACCTTGACCTCCAGCAAAATGAGTCGGCAACACTCGTGCTAATGATTTCGATCCTAATTTTATCTTTTGAAGCGGGATAAATTCACATCCTGTCCTTAATTGCCAGCCAAGAAGCTCATTCTTTCCTCCGAAAAAGAGCAATTTATTCTGCAAATTGAAATTTTCTGTCCCAATCATCAGATCAGCAAAACAGTGACTTCCATACACTGAACCATTGTAAAACTTATACCTTGCTTTTTTAGCTTCCCCACCAAAACAGATGTCCAGAAAAACTCTCTCTCCTGCTGTGAAAAACTAACAAAAGAACTGAAGATAACAAATGAGCTTTTTAACTGCTCGTTACATTAATACACACAGTACTATTTAAATAAATAAAAAAAAAACCTCTTAACGCACAATTTAATCAAACCAATTAACACATAATTAAAATCTGTTAGCAACACAAAAGAGCTATATTTAAACAAAATCTGTTAGCTAGATATGTATTATTTATTTATTTGAACATTTACTTCTTTATCTTCCACTTTTGGGGATAATATTTAGATCATTGAAGAATATAAAGAAACAAAATATTTAAAATAATAAGCTAAGTTGAGCAGTTCAAAATTAGATCTTCCTATTACTGTAGAAGGACTTAGGACAACTGCTGATATGTGTATTATAACTGATAAAATCTGCAGCATATGTAAGCATTTTAATAATTTTTTTGAAGTAAGCAAATAATCATTCGTAACATATAAAAAATTTAGGATTTAAACATTTAGATTATTAATAATCAAGAAGTGATAGAATTCTAAATAGGCTTGAAATCTTATAAACCTTATAAATTATATTAGGAGGTGTTATTGATTATAGCACCTCCTAATATAATTTATAATAAATAGGCTTGAAATCTTATAAACAGTTGATTTAGATTGAAAAAATAATTTGAACATATGACTGTTATTGAATTACTCACAGAAGATGTGTTTGGGTTCCATGGTCGGCCTCCGGGACCAGGCCTAGTAAAAAAATTAATAAATTTTAACATTTCTTTAATTAGCACATATAAAATTTATATACTGAACAACTGTATGTAATAAAGCTACACACAACTAAAATATCAAATCTGTATTATGAAGAATTTTACGTATCAAATAAATAACTTCTAGATCTAAAGACTGCCATGCATACTAGTTACATCATATATTACTGCTCTGTTTTAATTAGTTAAAACTTTAAATATTTTATTTAGAAAAGCAAATTTGGCTCCTTGTATAAAACAATGAAATTAGACTATGTGCAAAAGTTATACTTGCTAGCAAGAAATTTCAGGACCTATATTACTAGTTTCCAATCTAGTGCTAAGCTTAAAAAATGTACTGCGTTACTTGAAAACATGACTCTCTTTTAAATACTGCATTTACTTAGGTAGTTTATCTTTCATTCTATTCAGAATCAAATGAATTTTAATAGATGCATGCTTTCATCTGATATTCACATGTATTTTTATGCTAAAATTTAGTGAGTCTTCTTTGACAATCTATATTTTTATCAGTTTTGTTAAAATACACATATTGCTTAATTGATACTTATAGTCATAGGAGGTGAAGGAAAAAAAAAAAAAGCGAAACATTGTACTGACAAATTTTAAGATGACAAAATGATATGCATATTTTTAAATATTGCTTTTTTCAAAGACTGTATTTCTACAGGTCTGTTAGAATTAAAGCTATTCATATCATTTATTGAACTCTTCATTGAAACAAGCTATTCTTTATCTTTCTTTAAGTTGCTGCCCCAATATCACAGTAACAGTCTGTTTTTCCTTTTTTAATGACCAAATTTAATGCAGCATACCTCATTTTTACTTTCTTGTACGAAGTAAAGCAAGTATTGTAAACACAAAAAATTCCAGGTTTCATATTTCAACAAAAGTATCCATTTTGACCACCACTGAATGCAATTTAATGATGTTTGTATGGGACATCTGTATGTAAGGACAGAATAAAGGACTCTTTTTACCCAAATGAATTATAAAATTGATTTAAAATGGATTCAGAAGAGATTTTTTCGTGGCGTCTGTACGCATTTATCTCGCATAACTCAAAAACGAGTGTAATCTTGGAATGTTAAAATTTTGTACATAGAACTGCTATAGCATGTAGTCGTGTACCTCCCTTTTTGGTTGCAATCTGCCACACCAAAAGTATATAAATATGTATATATATATATATACCCACTTCTGTTACTCTGCTTATTGAGCTCAGTTTTTTTTATTCTTATATGTTGGTAAATTGTGCATTTTTTTTTGTGTTAATAATGATTGAATTATGTTGTTCTTAATTTCCAGTTAAGATTTTTAAGCCAATAGTTGTAGAAATATCAACAACTTATCAATAAATTGTTTAAGTGTAGCTAAGCCTATTTTTTTTTAAAACCATAACAGCCATTATTTATTTACATTTGAAGCAGAATAGTGAAGTAAGTCTTTCTGCACCTTCTGTGTCTTTTTGCAGAGTAGAACCAAAACAAAACTTTTAGTTTTGAGCACCGAAAAATTAGCTTTCGCTCCCATTAGTCGAACTGCTTGTTTTCACATAGAAGCTGCAATTTTAATTGTAAAAATTGTTTATTTTTATTGTTTTAACTGTATTTGGTGTTTTATGTTTTTCTATGTCTTTCAATTTTTAATGAAGATATTTTGAATTTCTATGCATTTTTGTCTTGCCGAAAAAGTGAGAAGTGAATTAATTAAATGAGAAATATATCTCTAATGAAATTTGAGGAAATATGTTTAAATGAAATATGGGAAAAATGCATATAATTTAATATTCAATACAAGGAAGTCACATGGTGTACACATCTGTTTTTTTTAAACATTTCCACACCTCTCTTAAGAAGGAATATTTTTCTTTCAATGCTTACTTCTTTCTCTGCAGTCCAAAAAAGGTTAAATTCTGTTTAAATAAAAAGGTTACTTTTAACTTTCTCATGACTACATCATTGTTTCAGACACAGCAATAATTTCACTTCCCATCTGGCAGAGTTATTGGATTAATTAACTTTACCAGATCAAGTAAAATGCTACAACTTTTAAGATGCGAATATCATAAGTAGGGAATGAAAGATTATATTATCAAAGTATTTACAGTAAAAATAAAGTTAACAATTAATGTAGACACAATTGTGCAAATACATTTAGAAATATACGGTACGTTAATCTTAAAAAAGTTCAATACAAATATTATTTGATTAAACATTGGTTGAATCTTCATACAAAATTCTACAAATGTCAACAGTACATTAAGGCAATGCAGATCAAAACAGATTTAACATGAAAACTTTTGCTGAAAATCACTACAGGATGGGGAAATGAAGCTTGCACAATTGGAGTTTCATTAATTCAATAAATTTCATTTATGAGTGGGAAAAATTTTCCTAAATAATGGCTAAAAAAAAAAAAAAAAACTTGGAGATTCTGTAATTTATTCGGACATGTAATGAAAAACTGGGATAGCTCACAGCTATGTATACTAGATTCTTCAATACTTCTTAAAATCAAGATAAGCACTTGAAGGATATGGAGTCAGAAAATATAACTAATCTCAGTTTTATAAACATTTTTAATTATTAAATTTAGTAAAGTATATTTAAACAAATAATATGAACTACTTACATAGACATAGGTGACATCTGGGGCCCAGATGGTCCCATTCCTCCACTAGGAGGCCTCATGCCACCATAGTTCTAAAAATGGAAAGAAAAATAAGTTTAAAAAAATCCTCACACGGTTACTTTTACAACATTTTTGCTATAAATATACAGTCAAAAGTCGTTAATTCGGACACCCATAATCCGGAATGATCTATAATCCAGACCTCAAAGCTAAAAACTTTCTGCGCATGCGCCGCGTTGACACATGCGCATAAGACCTTTACGACAGCGCATATGCGTGTGCGCAAGTGCAGAAAACGTTTTCGCGTGCGCGTTTAATGTAAAACGGACAATATAAGCTAAAATTATCTAATTATCTATTTCAGTTAATGTTGATGATTGCGTTGTTCCTTAATCGTTGAACTGGATCTGGCTTATTACTTTTTTCAGACTGTAAGAGCAATTTTATAAAAGTAAACTTGAACTTTCGATTATGTCAAATAGAATTTCCGATGCTGAAGCTCCCAAAGGATCTACAAAACGAAAGTATGTTTCGATGTCCATCAAACAAAAAGTGGAATTGCTACAAAAAATGGATAAAGGCATGAAGAAGGTGACAGAGAGGTTAGTGAAAACGAAAAAAATTCAATTGACAAGTTAGTCGGTATTCTCGGCACAGCAATTACGGGACTTGAACAGCGGAACTTTGTTACTGAACAAGAAATTATGTCTGTTTATAGAATTAAAGAGAAAGTATTATCACATAAAACGAAGCAACTGAAACAATTTATATTGAAAGAAATGTTTAATAAAGTAAACAAATAAATATTAAGCTTTTTTTTTGTAAATTTTGATACCCTTTAGATCATAATTGTTCTTTATTTCATAAATAGCGGTTTCATATTTTTAATTTTAGAATTTCTGCATGCCATCTTACGAGATTTAAACTGATGATCTATAATTCGGAAAAATCGATAATCCGGAATTGCCGAAGTCCCGACGAGTCTGGATTAACGACTTTTGACTGTATCTGAAATGTTTAGATATTCATCTAGAATAACCAATTAAGTCCTCTTTATCTGAAATTTTGAATATTTGTATTTCAAGTATTTAAAAAACAACTATAAGTAATATAAGATTTGATCAAAAAGTTCTGAGTTTGACTTTTTCAGAGAAACCATACTATTTAAATCTTGTGACCCTTGAAATAATAAACTATTCATTCATTGTACGTCAACATTGTTTTCAATTCTTGACATATTTTTGATACCCAATTTCCTGAGTTAGATAGTTTTGATGGCAGATTTTTTTGATACTATTCCAATATGTCATATCTTTATTTGTTCAAAATGGGTTTTAACTTTGAAAATAGGGGGAAAAAAGTATATATTAGGGAGGCAGGTTAGGTATGTGATGAAACCATGAAAATACAGCTGCCTGTTTTGACACAAACTGTTTTGACCTGTTTTTAGCTGTTTTGACACAAAAGCCATAAATCAACAATGATGCCTGTATGGGAGCCTTGTTATGAAAGATGAACAAGAATTTGTTTAAATGCAACTGAAAGTGATAATGGATTAAATTAAAGTGAATTATGGGAGGGGGAATCAAATGTGCGTAAAGCATACAAAAAAAAAAAAAAAAAAAAATTCTAAAAAAAGGCTGTTGTTGGCTTTGAGGTCCGGATTTTAGATCATTCCGGAAATTGGACGTCCGTATCTCAGACTTTGTACTATATACAAAATTCATAACATTGCCCCCTTCCAGACGATTGCATGACCTGGGCAGTACAATGCCTGGACAGGAAGCCATACTTTCAGCTATAGAAAATCAATGCAACACTAAAATAATAATTTCACTACATGACATACAACAAATCAAATATTAAACAAATAGACCACATGCATAAATTTACAAATATATATACACATAAGAACATGGTCTTGGTATACTATTTATATTAAATGCACTAAGGGGACCATGTACAAGGGCCATAGTAAGCAGCTAACTGTCAGAATAAATGATTTTAGGCTTGGAATTTGAGAATTGAAGGACTGCTTAAGGACCTTCCCAGGATTACAGTAGTTTAAGAGAAAACCTTTTCCGTCAAACTGGATTATATAACCACAACGTGTCACTTTCGTTGAATCGATATCCCTTACATTTTATACACTAGGAGGACTATATACAAGAGCCATAGCAAGGGGATGGCTTGTTGTAATAAATGTTTTCAGGATTAGAATTTGACGATTTATGGACCCAAACTACGATGTTGGTCATCCTGTTTAAGACTGTGTACAGACTGTCCCAGAATGACTGTAATTTCCTTTTTGTGGAATCGGATTCCATAACCACAATTTGTAACTTTCGTTGACTTGATGTTGCAATAGCTCTCATGTCCTACCGGGTTTTCATCTTCTCCATCGCTAGGCTGACTTGCTCTTGTGCAAAACTGTACATCACTTCAAAATCTACCTGGAATCGTGAATGTACTTCTCAGGTGATGAAGGCCCATCCGGAGGGTGACCAAACAACAGATCAGAAGGCAGACGAAGGTCATGACTGAACATCACCTGTGATTGGGAATAGCCAGTACTCTCATGAAGAGCACTGAACTAGGCCAATAAAAACAAACTTCTGGTCCCTACTGGTTTCTGGAGACCAAAAGTGACAGTTTGTTAGGAATGATTTGCTTAAACTTCTCTACCATGCTGTCTGACAGTGGATATAAAGGTATCATTTGAGTTTTGTCTATGGTAAATAGGTTATTTCGAATTGTTTAATTACAGCCTAGATAAAATGCCTTCCTTAATCAAAATGTAACAGAAGGAGCACTTTATACCTGAAAATCCAATGCTGTACCAGTATCTCTACTAACGTAATAGTCTCTTGATCAGCAATAGGTTACACTTTGGACCATTTTGTAAAGTAATCAATGACAACAAGGACGTATTTGTTGCCATTAGTAGATTGCGGAGAGGTCGCAGGATATTGAACCTGATGTGTTCAAAAGGAGCTTCTACAATGTAATGTTACAGCTTCCCTCAGCTGCATTTCTTCAGTTCTGTCCAGCCTGCACAGGCATCACTTCTGCACATCAACCCTTGCATTATTCCAGTAGAAGCAATCTTGAACTCAACGCAAACTCTTCATTATTTTAAAGTGGTTTGCAGTGGGACTGCCATGTACAAGGTTGAAAAGTCATGATGCATTTTTTCCATGTTCATCAAAGATCTTTTATTTATATAAGGAATAGTGCATTGTCTGTTTTGTTCTGATAATTTTTGCTTTCTTATATAATGAGCTTCATAATTCCTCACTCTCTCTCTCTCACACACACACACAAAAAAAAAAAAAAAAAAAAAAAAAAAACTTTATCAGCAAAAAGCTGAAGATGATGATTTACGGCCTCATCTGAATTGAATGCTTTAGTATAAAAGAAATTTTGAAAATTTTTCCAAACTCCAACAATTTTTCTCAAGTGATCAAACCTGCGTGAGGTCTCATATAACTGAGAATGCAGTTCCTATCAGATTAAAGAGCTTAGAAGTTTCTGAAAAATAGATTCTTTGAAACTGTTTAGTTGGTGAAAGCACACATTCAAACTGATTTATTGGCTCATCAGTAGGAGCCTGAAAACAAGACTACACACATGTTTGATCACTGACAAAAATTACTGGAGTCTGGATGAAAAGTGTAGCTACACGTATCATACTCACCTGATCCTGTGTATATGGTTTTTCCCCAGCCGCAAAGAAATTTTCAGTAAGTTTGATTTCTCAAAATTGGTGGAAGGCATATAAAGTTACATAAACTGATAAAATCATTTACAGTTATTGGACCAAAATGTCACCAAGTTTAGCAACTTTTGGTGGGTGACAAAAATTAATCGCTAAAGCCAATGCCAGTTTAGCATGAGCTATTTATTTCAATGTTAAATGGACTAATTATTTTTTCGGAGCTTCGTATTTTTGCAGCATATCATGATACTTTACACAAGAAATACTACAACTCACAAACCATTTTACTAAGAGTATTTACATGTTTACAAACTTTGTAACAATATCATGCGAACTGTGATACCAACATACTACTTTAAGTTGGATTTCATGTGTACTGAAATAAATAATGGAAACCTAAAGAATATGGCAGTACAATAGATGATTGATGCAACATTACTGCATTCAGGAAACAATTAAAAGTTTTATAATGGAAGGCCTTAGCATAATAGAAAATAATGCAAATGGTTAAATCTTTGGTTACATCGAATGGTAACTATTCCTATTTTCCCAAGATGTTTATTTTTACTTTTCACACAGTTAGACCTTTTGGTGTTAATAAGGTGAAATAAGATGATTATGGCATAATTTTATAACACATATCTAGATCTAGTGGATGAAGAATAAAAGATAAATAGTAACATATGATGATAAGATTTAGTTCCTTGCAGTAAATTGATGAGAGATGAGTGCTTGACTAGGGAAGATGTTATTTTGCATTTGCGAAAGGACTGAGGTTATATAGTAGAAGATGTGGAGAACTTTTCAAGAATCACAAAAATAACTTAATAATTCAAATATATCTTTATTAGTTGCTGATTACTCAATTAAATGGCACAACACAATGGGGCCAATCTACATCCCACAATTTCGATGATGACGCATTACATTTCTAATAGAAGCAGCTAACAGTAAGGAAGGGTAGATGGATTGCAATGGTAATTATAGTAAAAATTTCCATTACTCTGATTGCCTAAAACGTATTGGCAATGCACATAAGTTTAAGATAACACACACATACATATATAAATATAAGTACTTTTTTAGTATAGCAGCCCTCAGATTGAATCACTAATGAACCGAGATATCTTGTTTCTCCATGTGTTCTTATATCTTATATCTTGTATCTATCCGCCATGTGTTCTTATATCTTGCTACAAGTTACATCTTATTTGATTAGCGATTAAATTTTGGGGGCCGCTATAATAAGTACTTAGATCAAAGAAGATAACATACTAAATAATCTATATATGTATATACATTTACTTCTTTCTTGGCAACAATTAATTTGTTAATTTAAGATCATTTTGGTAGAAGTCTGATGCTATGTTAGATTTCCAATTTTCATTTGCAATAAAACTTTTTTTTAATGATAAATGCAACAATGTTTACATACAAATAATTTAAGTATGGCAAGTTTTAAAAATACTCAATACACAGACAGAACATTCTTCTTTTACACAGAGAGAACATTAAAAGAATGTATGTTTATTTTGGAAGCAACAACATACAATGGATGGTTTACAAAATAAACAAATGATTACTATCTGTTACATTAAATTAAAATATATATATATGAATTCGCATTAGATATTTATATACCACTTAATCTACTTATATATAAGCTACTTACTCCTGGATTCATGGGTCCCATTGGCTGACCCCGCGGAGGGTTCATGCGCGGGTTCATTGGGCTCATTCCAGATGGACCTATTGTTACAAAATATATCATCATAAATGTAGAGCAAAACAGCCCATTTCCAAACAAAGTTTGTAAACAGTTAAGTTTATAAAAGTTTTTAAACATTTTAAAACATTAAAAAGGCACTTATTAAATTATGCATAGCAATTCAAATATTTAAAAAAAACATTTGATCAAACTTTTACGTTAGAACCAAAATTTTTAATTAATATCTCATTATATTTTAACGAACTTATTGAAGTTACAGTATATAAATGCACAGATATATTATTAAACTGCATAACCTAAAGTTTACAAGAAAAGAATGAGGATTTTCCAAACTCTAAGCTTATGAGAAACTTTATCTATGCCTGTGTAATTTTTTGAAAAGAAAGTTTCATTACTTGAAAGGTTTTTGTTACTCGATTCATGACCTGAAGTTTTGCAGACAACATGAAATGAAGATTAAGGGAGTAAGCTGCAGACTTACTATAGGAAATATTTTTGTGCAAATAAATTCAGAGGTCTGTTAAATACTTTTATTAAAAGAGGGAAGGCAAACAAAATAATAATAATAATTTAAAAACCATTTAAATATAGTGGAAATGACTCCTACAAAAAATTTCATTCCTAGATCTTTCAAGCAGCTGTTTATTATTTTCCCTAATTTTTTAAGAAGTTTCTCCTGAAACTCTTAAACAGCAAACTCTACCTTTTTATTAAAAAAAAAAAAAAAAAAAAAAAAGGAAGTACAAATCTTGATGCATAAAAAAGGCATTTAATATTAAATATTTGTAGGTGCCAAGGTTTGAAATGAACACACAGAATCACAGTTTATAGTTACATTTTATCTGGATATTTGGGGCTGTTTATTTTTGAACTGAACCCATAGCATGCTACTTCATATTTAACTCCCAGAGCTAAATACCAGAGTGTGAAAACAAGTTTAATCTATATCCTTAAATAACCAGAGTGTAAAAGCAATCTTATGACCTCTGAATAACCAGATTTACAGCTAGGATGATTTTAATTAAGATTTCCTGATAACAGATTCAAGTGCTTTATTTATTTATTAAAAATGTTCATCTATTCTCATATAAATAAGGTGCAATTAAAATTAAATGGCACAACCCCAGTGCATTAATAATCATTACATTACTTAGCTACAGTACTTGTACTAGCATGCAAGATAATTTAACCACTTTTCAAATATTATTGTGTACAACATTTTCAGTTCATACATTACACACTATGCTTATATTGAAGGTCTTTCACAATCATCGGCTACTTACATGTAATATTTATTTTGTATTTTAGGGTTTTATTAAAGATAATTTGAAAGCATTTACAGTAGTGCCGTTATCCTCACCGATCGCGGGATCACATTACTTATACACGACAAAATCGCGTTCTGCAAAATTAATCTTCAATGAAAAAATTGTGTGAAATAATTCAGGTTACGAAAGTATGTATAATTTAAAGAAATCTAAACATCATTGCAATTAAAAGGAAAAAATCTGATGTGTGCAACCACGACTTTCTTGTACGGAATGTTAAATTATACGCATTTTTTTTTCTTGCATTTCATTTAAACTTATTAGTTTGAATTAAATCCACATCGTCGATAGCGCATAAACACAATAAAATAAATGCACTCTTTAAAATTCACTGTATTTGTTTACCATAACGATACTCTGGCCCTAGGTTCACTAGCGTTTCCATTCATTTTGTAACTCAGAATGCACAAAATTTATATCATCTTAAGATTTATATAATCGTTGCCACATGTTCTATTCAAATACCATAATAAATCTAAAACGATATAAAAGAAATTAAGCAAAGAACAACAATTAAAAAAAAAAATCTAAAGGGCGTTTTTCAACGTTTTGCGTGTTACCTTTATTTATTCAATATCATGTTCTTTGCACTTAAACCATAAAATTCAGTTCAATAGCAATGAGCGTATCTTAAGAATTTCCGATATACAGTTTGCGCGCTGGAGATAAAAAGACCTTTTTTTTCCACCGTAGAGTGTTGCCATTGCTCGCTTTTAAATCGTTGAGTTTGTTACTCAAAAATTCGTGAAAGTTGTAGAAAATATTGGGGGGGGGGAAGAAAGAAACAGTTTTTTTTTTTCCAGATTTGATTCACACAGTTTTCACGATCAGTTTGCTCATTCAATTAATTCAGTTCTTACTTCATGACAAGGGAAAAATACATAAAAATTCAAAATGTCTGTAGTGAAAATTACGAAGTAAATCTTAAATACTGTAAAGGACCTTATTTTCGCGAGGCTTTAATTTTCGCAATTTTCGCGAGCCCGTCGTAATCGCGAAATATTGTTTTTTTCCGCCTCAAATTTTTCACTTACCCAAAATTTAATGATTTATTGCACGTTTACAAGCTTTTTCTTGACAACTTTCTTTCTTATAATTATTTTTTGAATAATACACAAATATATTTCTCGAATATAGAACAATAAAATTAATAGAAGGCAGCTCATTCACTTAGAATACTATTTATACCAGCTTCTTTGAAGCCATTCAAAATTATCTCATGTTTGGCTTCAATACCGTTAAATACGCGCACACGCCAAGAAGTGTGAATCGGTTTTAGTCGTAATACAGTAGACTCCCGATTTTCCGCGCCTGCCGCACAAAGTTCCCCCCCCCAAGCGTAAAGCAAAGAAAATTAAAATGTTTACAAAACTGTGAGAAACGTTAAATTTGCTAACATCATCCTTATTTATGGCAAAAATATCCTAGGCCTTATCGGAACCTTCCCCTCTGATGAGTAAGCGATTTCTTACTCACCCTTGCAGTGCCCGCTCCACCGCCCTCTCTCGTCTTAATCTTACTGACACGTCAACTTCCCTAAACGCCATTGTTAGTTTAAGCCTGATAGTGTTTGCGAACCGGTCGTAGTTAATTTCTTATCTTTTATTGTGCTCAGTGCTTGTGCTTTTTGGTTTTGTGTTTTTCGTTACCGATTTATAATATCAGGAAAACGAAAGAAGGTTCTGTTGACGATTGCGCAAAAACTAGAATTAATTTCCAAAGTAGCAAACGACGCTACAAGGCAGCAGATGGAATTGGATTACGGAATCGCGGAAACAACAGTGCGTGACAATCTAAAGCAAAAAGACAAACTGGTGAACTTTGCATCAATGTCGGACAATGCTTCTGCAATGAAAACGCGAAAACCTACGAAGGGTTCTACCTTTGATGAGCTAGACGCGGCATTGAGAGAGTGGTTAGCTCAAGTTCGAAAAGAGGGTACTCCTGTAAATGGTCCTATCATTGCGGCGAAGGGAAAAACCTTTTTTGAGTTGTTAGGCCTGAAAGGAAATTTTGATGCGTCTTCTGGCTGGTTGACTCGTTTTAAGCAGCGACATGGAATTCGAGAAATTGGACTTCACGGAGAGAATATATTAAGCGTAATAAGCTAAAATATTAAGCGTTAGTTTAAACATTTCCTGCTGTTTATTTTACGTTTTATTGTACATAAAACGATTTTTCAATGTTTGAATGACTGTTTTCTTATTTGCTATACCCGTTTTTAGCCTTTTTTCAGATTATCCGCGGCGTCCGCGCCACCCAATTCCGCGGATAATCGGAAGTGTACTGTATTCGTAAGTCCACAGATTCTTTTTCCTCTAGAAATTGAAGCTCGTTAGAATATCACTCAATAAACTCATTTTTGACCAAACGCTTGAACTCGCCATTTAGACGAGAACGGGGGGGGGGGGGACGACGAACTTTTCGGACAAAAGGAAGTTTCTTAAATTGCTTTATGCAAAAGATGTACTTTTGGAATTTTTCAACTTTCTCAACTTTACTTAGGTACTTTTGAAATTTTTCAACTTTCGATTCTGTTCATATAAAATTCGCGAAATTTTCAATTCGCGAAATCACTGATATATTCATTTTCGCGAAAATTACGACCGGCGAAAATAAGGGCCTTTACAGTACTTATTTTCTCGAATATATATTCTAAAATGGATTAAGCATGATTTAATTCGCAATAATAAAAAAAGACGTTATCTTTGTTATTGCTAAGCTTACTTTCTCTAGATTGGCAACAAAGCTACTATTCTGCTGTTTCAAATGTAAACAAGCAATGGCCATCATGGCAAAAATTATTAGGCTTAGCGGCACTCAAACAACTTTTAAACTGTTTCTTTAAAATTGTGTCAACTTTTAAATTGTTGATAATTCTAAAAAATATTGCATACAGATTTACTAAAGGCATAAAAACCTTAACAGGAAGATAAGAACAACATAATTCAATCATTTTTAGAGCAAAAAATGCACGATACAAACATATAAGAATACAGAAACTGAGATCACCTATATACAAAATTTTAACGTTCTGAGGCTACTCGTTTTTGAGTTATGAGAGATACATACGTACGCCACGAAAAATTCTCTTAAGAATTCATTTTAAATTAGTTTTACAACTTTTTTTTGGAGGAAAAGAGTCCTTTATTCTGTCCTTACGTACAGATGTCAAGCAAAAACATCCTTAAATTGCATTCGATAGCGGTGAAAATGGATATTTACGTTGAAATATGATGCCTGAAACTTTTCGCGATTACAATACTTCCTTTTTACTTCGTACAAGGAAGTAAAAATGAAACAAATATTAATTGAAAAGATTTCTTTATTAAAAAGCTGGTAATTTTTGCTTGGGACAATGAGTGACGCAACTTTTTTTAAAGTTTCGCGGTAAGGAGCGCAGTTTTTCAATGGCTCTCATAAAAAGAGCCCTTTTCTTTCTTTATTTGTGCGGAACACTGCAAAAGGTGCTGGTACTACTTTATTTTCACGGTCCCCCATTACCAAAACGGCGCGAAGATTATCGCGAAGTTTAAACTACTCGACTATATTTTTTAGCTGTCATATCTCCTCGACTACTTTATTTGTTGATTAGTGGCATCAAAAGGCTTAAGAAAGCATTCACCACCAGGGCTCTCTTTAACCCTGCTCACCACTTACATGGCATAACTAGGCAATATGCATTGTTGTGG